ACCGTCCTTGCTAAGTGTGTTGGCACCCAGTGTATTGTGTAAGAAGCTTCAGATAAAAGTGTCCATCAAAAGAAATCTTTCCCAGTAAATTAAAGTGCATGCCAGTGTGTTTTAAGTGGCTCTTAGTAATGCGAGTAGTAAACCTGCACAGTCGCATTTAGGTTCTGACTAATTTGGGAGCAACTGGAAACTGTGACGTGAAAAGTGATAAATGTATCTGAAATCGTGTCAGTAATCCTCTGCTTTTGCTTCACATTACAAATAGTGTAAAAGAATGTTGAAGGACCACTTCTCAATACCACCATGTCAAGGAAAACTCCACAGAAACCTCAAACACAGAGTTTGCCATCCTAATTCCACTTCAGCCTTTTCCCAGACTGTTGCAATTAATCTTTTCAGCCTCGAGGCAGCAACATGTGCACGAAATGTCTTCAGCTTATGCAGCATTGGCTGTGTGTGAGTGCAACCTCAGCTTTGTCAGGGAAAATATTTAGCGGGAGATAGTGAGGTAAATATTGGCATAACAACAGTTGGCCACGGCATTTGATTTGTGCTGAATAAGCTGTTGGTGTTATGTCTTTGTGGGACACCTGAATATTGTAAAAGTTGGCATTGGTGGAGCAATAGAGCCCAACGTTTTGCATGGGAAAACTATTCTATTCTTGGCCAGGTCAGCATTGTAAATGAGATTTTGTCTCAATGTTTTCACCTGGTTAAATAAAAAATAAAATTCAACATATTCTTCAAGATCTGGATCCAAAACCCAATACATTTGGTTGAAAGGTTACATACTGTATAACCATTGTACTAATATCATTTAAAATACTTTATTTCAGTGAAAATTAGGTTGTATTATTGTACCTTGTAACTGGTATGAATAATATAGACGTCACCTTTCAACCCAAATGTAGTCTATATTTTGACTCGTATACCAATTCAGTTCTGGTTGTGTTATTTTAAGCAAATATTTGATTATTGGTAATGTGTTATGTGGGATGCCCTTAAAGCGAAGAAGTAGAGTGGCCCGTAAGTTTTCCATGGATGCTTAAATGTGCAATTTTGTATCAAGTGGATCAGCAGTTCTTGTGAACTATCCAAAGTTAAAATATACTTTCTAGTGCGATGTGTTGAGATTGAAATATGTGTCCCTATAGGATGTCAAGCAGTGCAGGTAAAGTGCTGCTGAGTGAGTCTGAATACTGTGTGTATATGTAAGCCTTAAGGATCACATGTTTGGGTTGACATTAGAGCCCGGCATATATAAATGATCCTTCGCTGGACTCTCGCACCCCCCCCCCTGCTCTCAGAAAATGGCCCTGAAGCTTGTAAAGAATCCGAAGTGATACTCAGCACGCCGTACGCCGATGACGTCTAAGATAAACGTTTGTGCTGTCAACTAACTTCCTGACCATGTGACCACTCGATCCCCTCGGAATGACACTCCCCAAAAATAAACCCACCCCACCCTGCGTGACAAGAACAAGCCCCCCCAACTCTCCCTTCCTTTGGGCGCATGTGTCGACACTCAGGGGGCCTCTGCTGCTACTTGACGTGTAAACCGTTTTAAGCAACAGCTTGATCATCAATCTGAGAGACGTAAATACGGTTGAGGCTGTTGAGTCAGGGAAAAACAGGTAGACGCCAAGTGGCAGATGGAACAGTCCATCCACTGCATTACTGTAGCTGTAGCTGCAATCATAAAGAAACCTGCTGAAAAATGGTTTCCTAATTGCATATCAACAGTTTTTGTTGACTTTGTTTGAGTAATTAATTTAACATTTTCTGTCCTCTAGGTGAAAGTGTGGTTCCAGAACAGGAGGATGAAGTGGAAAAGAGTGAAGGGTGGTCAGCAGGGAGCGGCAGCCCGAGAGAAAGAACTGGTCAATGTGAAAAAGGGGACGCTGCTGCCATCAGAGTTCTCTGGCATCGCAGCGCTTCACCACTCGACGGACTCCTTAGCCAATGAGGACAGTCACGACAGCGACCAGAGCTCCGAGCACGCTCACTTATGATGCACCCCGCCCCTCAGAGGATAGGCCCTGCGCTGCCTCAGGACTGTCCTTAGAAGGACTGCTGTTTGCTGATTCGCCATCGTCATACAACGATGCTAAATAAGTGTACAACTACAGTATACAGAGAAGTGTGATAAATAATGCAGCCCTTATGTAGGCGATATGTACATTTCAAGAACTGAGCACATAAAGGAAGGATGTTGACATATTGTAAAGCGCCATTGGTTAAAAATCTCCTTGATAAAAAGAAAAACACTTTTAAAAAAAAAAAACATTTTGGAAATATTTTTAATCGTACTGTTGTAAACATTCCATGTTGTGTGTCTCGAGAGAAGCAGGCTTTGATTTGCACTGTTAAACACACAGTCTGCTTCTCACTCAGTTTCTACTGTATAAAATGTAAATTACGATGTAATTTAGTTATTGATCAAATCAAGTGCCAGGAAATCAAATTTGCCTACAGTAGCTAATATAAATGATCTGTATTGTCTTACCATAACAATAGTTGTATACCCACACTATTCAACTCGTGCAGTAATAAACACGGACGGTTCTTTAGTCAACACTTTTCTGCCTAGAGATGTCATTTTCTAAAAAATGTTGAAATAAGTATTCTATTAAATCTTTTCAGAAACAGTTGCAGATCAATTAAAATGTAACAATTGATCAAAATTAATAATAATTTGAATTACTTTTTTTCATCTATGCAACACCCATTGAAATGGGTGTTGCATAAAGTGAAGCTGAAATGAATTAAACATCGCAAAGAGTGTAGAAAGCTGGTGATGGGGCTGCATGCTAAATTCACCTCAGCCTTCGGGCAGGGTCGGGACTTCTGCCAAGAATCTGAGAGGGAGAACCCGCAAAGGATCAGATTCTGTTACAAAACTAAGTTGAAAATAATTTCTTGACTTGATCTCATCTTTCACCACATTGTGATTGTGCATTCTAATTTTTTCAGGAGGCACCTCACACGGCATGTGAGGTTTTTTTAATTTTATTTTCCTTCCCTTGCAAAGCAAACCACAGGATGAATGTGATCCTTTAACTTTTTGACATTGCAACTGAAATGCAGTGCAATGTATTTACAAGTATAGAAGACATTTAGTGCCTTGATAATCGAACATCAAATCAGCCCAGTTACCACAGACTATTAACTCAGTCAACTAAATGTATAAGTTACAGCACACTCACCTCCAAATATGGTCGTCCCTATTCACCTGCAGCGACTCCTGATTACTGTCTGTTTAATAAACAACAACAACAAAAAGTAAGCGCTGTAATGAAAACTTCTGGAGCGAGGACTCGAAACACAATGAGAACACAGGAGAGCTCGAACTTGATGGCAGACACTGAAGAATGTATTGAAGGTTACGGCCGGAGAATTGACAAAGACACAGCTCCTGCCAAACAAACTTTGAAGATCTCCAGCCAGTCCCATTTAGCTAGCTCGGAGAGAATAATCAACATTTTGCATGACAAGGAATAACCAGCAAGTGTCATTATTATTATTATTATTATTATTATTATTATTATTATTATTATTATTATTATTATTATTATTATTATTATTATTATTATTATTAATGTCATTATAATGTTTTGCCTAAAAGTACATTGACATTTCACAATACACATGGTGCAACACTGAATTATTTTTCCATATCTAAACTGCATTTTCACTTATTCTCCCGGATTACTGGCATAGTTTTAAACATGTGGTCAAAGGATGCTAATTGGAATAAGTCAACCATGACTTTTGGTTCCCCTTGGTAAATGAACAATGGTCTTCTCTTCAGCAGACTTTGATTAGAAACTGTCTTGAAGGTGACTCAAAACGCAAATGAGTAAGTATTATGGGTCACTAATCTACTTTTAACTTTGCTTCACTTTCTATTCATAACTTTGTTTCTGTTAACTTCTAGTCTGCCTGCATTAACCAACACAAGCTGTTATTGCCTATAATGATCTTGAACAGGACCTGATATGCTCTGGACTCGGTCTTGATTTGGCCTCTAACCGTATCTGCTCTTGGACTTGAGTTGGACTAAAAAACTTTGGCCTTAACTAGCCTGGTTGCCATCATAAATCTACAGGAGACACCTGTTCTAACCTCTGACCTGTCATACCTCTAAGGTTTCCCTTGAACCTGCCCTCACCATATCTGCATTGCATCAGCTAAGGCTAATCTAGATGAGCTTTATGATCAGTTTCACCTGAATCCTATGTCCTACCTTACGTCACAGCTTAAAGAGACATGAACTTTTAGTCTTTCTCTTGGGAGTTTACATATTTACATGTCAGTATTTTTGTTAGACACATATTAGCAGTAAAGTTCAACTTTTTGGTTTGCTTATTTGCTTTATGGTGGAAAGTTTTAATAAAAAGTGACACCAATCTCTCTGTCTATCAACAGCTATTCAGTGAGCATTCAGTTAGCACAGCTAACCTGGTTCTGTCAATTACTAACACAATTAATCTGTGTGCTGCGAGGCTTTTGAATCTTAATGTAAAGGGAAACAATGTTCATTCATACACTAATAATCAAATCAGTTAACTAAGTTACTACAGCATCCACGTTTCCATAAAGGCTAATCAATAAAGACTACAGACCTTTTTTTGGTGTGCGCAGGAAACAAGCCTGGGGGAACTTCCCATTAATAAAGTAATGCCTAAAGCTCTGTTGAGAACTTCATGATATTCAAGCACATCTTACATGTTAATAACTTAGGAACACGACAACAAAAAAAGTGTAAGTGTGACCATAAATAGTTCTGGCTGCCAAAGTCAGAGAGTCTGCACTTGTAAAACATGTACAAACAGCGATAACACTCGCGAGATAAAGCGATAAGGCGTGAGATACCCTGAAGTACAGCCTGACCAAAGATAACCTTACTCGCCACCCTTTAAACGAAGCAGAATTTACAGCTGAATAAATACAGTAACTGTATTCTGCAGCTTTAACTGTCACGGACTCCTCTTCCTGTGTGTGGGAAGTTTGCTGGGGCGCTCTCAATTGCGCAACTGACTTAGTTAACTTGGAAAAGAGGAAAACAAGGCTGTAAAACGGCGAACACATCAGAGAAACTATATCCAAAGGAACGCTCAATACCTGCGCAGGTAACAGAGAGTGACACGGGTTAGCGGAGAGCACGGTGCGGTCTGCCAATGGCTGGAGCTGTGAACCCCGACTCGGTGTCCACGGGGGCCCGGGCAATGTTTTTCATGATCACACCGAATGAATCATCTTTCCAGAAAGTGGAGGATGTGCCTCAGTATGTACAACAGGTCGGTACAGCCTCACTTTCATCAGTATGTGAAGATTTGTTGTTGTGTAAAAGAGTTCAACCCTCTTTCTCTGAGGCACTTAAGGTGACCTTTTGCCTACTGTCGTTCAGATGTTGAAGAAGTGCTTTAAGCCTTAGGTCTATAGTAAAAGTCGTAAAACCAGATAAGGCAAACACACTAGTGCTGCATTGAAAAGTATATTTAAAAAAGTGCTTAAGTAAGCCTATCAACTAGAGAGCTGCAGAGATACACGATTAATTAGAGTTAGAAGACTTACTTTTGTAGCCTACCACAAACAACAGGCACAGTGATTACATATATATATTATAATGTTCAGATATCTTTTGTATATAAAATGTAAACATTAGTTAAAAAAAATCTTTACATTAATGGAAAATGTGTTAGTTACAACGTTAGTATCTAAAATAACTCTGATGATATTAATGATAAAGACTCTCTAGTGTCATTGAGAAAAAAAAAGACTTGATAGTCAATTATCTGGAAGAAAACTGATGCATTAATAGAAAGCTTTGAATTACCTGTGTGTTTACATTTGTCACAGGCAAATAAAGTATATAGTTGTTTACCTTTGCCAAACTACAAAGATGCAGGTGTTTTTTCGGGTGCAAGATTATTAACAAAGAATAGACAATTTAAATTATTCTCAATGTCAGTTGAGGTCAAAATTAATTAATTTAGTCTTATTGAGATTAGGCCTTTCTTTTGAAACTGAGACCATAGAACAGATCCCTCACATATTACACACAGACACACTAATTAGATGAATTGCAGTAGTGAAATGTATACTATCTGAAACCAGTACTCCTAAATTCAGTATCAGAATGAGAAACAACTCCGACTTCAGTTAGACATCTAAAAGCAACTAAATAATTTCCCATGCCTACTAAATGCACAATTTAAAAGACTTTGGGGATTCTTCTGCTTCTCAGTCAGTTTACAGTGTCTCAGTTTCCTTTTATTGTGGCAGATGTGTGGTGCAGGTTTAACAGCACATGTTTGTTATGAGGTTTTTATGAAGCACATCAGGGGAGGAGAACAATTACCCTCACAGCAGGATCCTTATAACCCACTACCAACCGTGATTAAACAAATTTGTTATTACTGCAGGGCTTGACGGTGATAAAAGTTAGCATGGGTGTGTGTGACTCAGCACTGTTTAAGTTAATTATTCTGTTCTCTCAAGAGGCGACATTAATTAGAAAAGCAAAACACAATCTTCCAATTTTAGAATAGTTTGGAATCAGGGATGGAATCAGGGCTGAGCAGGTCATTGTAATGCCTCGTAACTATTTAGTGACCTGAATGCAAACACAATATTTTTGTCAGACAGCAGAGATAAAAGTATATTCTCAGCCTGAATGTCGTCAACCAACACCAGTCATCCGTGACCTTATTAAAGAGGCTGTTTGGGGAAAGTGCAGACATCTGGTCAACAAATGTAATGTTCCAAGGCCCGAATTCAGAATAAAATCTAATAAAGTAACTAGATGCCACAACAAACGGTTCACAAAGGATGTGCTTCAGTATTAAATAGGCTTTCTTCAGTGTGCATTTTTGTTTATTTGCAAAAAGATTAAAAAAAGGAAAAACAGTTTCTGATGTCCATATTCAGAGGAAAATATCAAGCTGAAAAATAAAAATGGAGGACAATTACATCATAAAAAAGGAAGAGAAATGAGCAAAAAGATGGAGAAAGTTATAAAAACAAAGACACGTATGTCTTGCCCTTGCTTTTTTAAGAATCAATTTGCCCTGCAGACCAATTTTGTCCCAAGCTGTCAAGAACGCGGGGCTGCGGAGGTAAAACTATCTGCTAGAAAGGAGAGAAAAAAAGAAGGGAAGGTTTTCGAATGGCGTCCAGAATGATAATCTCTCTCTCAGCGGGTTTGGAGGAGGTCTGCCTCGCTGCGAGCCCATTTGTTGGCGGCAGCTCTGCAGTCTGCTGCCAGATGTTGGGAGCGTTGCGTGTGATCGCTGGTCCCTCGTGGTGCTCTCGCCTCTGCTTGTGCACACACACTCACATCACACACCTGCATGTTAAAGTGGAAGCATTCACATGTGGATATGCACACACATGCATGCACTCTCACTCTCACTTCCATCAAACACACACACTTCCTCCCTTCCCACCTGCAGATGTGCTCCTCTGCGGTCTCGTCACGCCCTTCATTCCTTGCTCTCGGCGGGCCATGTGTCCCGGTTACGACTGCAGTCACTTGCTCAAGGTGTGCCTTCGAGCTAGAGCTCACCAGCAGGTCTGACACGTTGCTGAAGTCGCAGTCCTGACCTGTTTGTTAACCCCGTCCCTCACTAATTTGTTCCATGTTTGACAGACTCATTACGGGGTTATTACATGTTTCTAGCACAGTTAGAAAGAGAGGTCTGTCAGTGACTGTTTGCTTTGTGCTTACCATTTGTTCTGTCATAAGTAGTTACTTGAGCTAATGCATACTTTCGCACTTTGGCTAAGAATAATTTAGTCTTTTGTTTACATCAAAAATGAAATAAAATCATGTGGCATCATGTGCAAAAATAGTTGCTAAAGAAAAGAAACAAAGAAAACTTTGAATGTCATATTTCTGCAGCATATGTTTAAAGTTGGCCAAACAGAAGAAAGGTTGTTTATATAGGGCAACTTCTTGATACACGTGTACACATTTTTATAGGCATTAACCATTTCAAACGTTCAGTATTGGTTTCAAATACATTTACAATGGGGAAGGATACTTGAAAAATGTAAAAAGTTGCGTGCCAAGTCAAAGGGCCCAGCCTTAAGCTAGCATGCTAACTATCTTACCACCAGCTAGAGGACTTTGCTGTATTTATAAGACAATTAAGTTTCATGGTGTGTTTTTTTTAGCCCTGATCTTTAAAGCAAACAATGAGACCTTTTTTCCGCCAGTGCAGCTCTGCTCAGACAAATGTTTGTGATCTCCAATCTGCCAATACATTGTGGCGTAAGACCATTTTCTCCAGACTGGTAAAGGGAAATAAACATGGATCACAAGACATGAAAGTCCTGCAAGATTCAAGCTCTTCTTCCAAGACAAATATTCAAGCTGAGACACAGCTTGAAACTGTCTTGTTTTCACAGTTTGTAACAGTGCTGAATCTTGATTGTGTGTGTGTGTGTGTGTGTGTGTGTGTGTGTGTGTGTGTGTGTGTGTGTGTGTGTGTGTGTGTGTGTGTGTGTGTGTGTGTGTGTGTGTGTGTGTGTGTGTAGGCTACTCCTTTCTTTATAGGGCTGATGGTGCTGGAGCTGGTGGTGGGTTTTCTGAAGACAGGAGCCCCAGTGGTCACCCTCAGTGATGGACTCACCTCTGTATCTGCTGGAATGATCTCCAGAATCCCACTGTGAATGTTTGAGCTGCTCATAGTCGGGCCGTACTATACGTTATAATCAGATAGTGGAGCTGCATGTCATACCAGAAAAAATTACTTTTTTGTAAACACATTTGTTATAACACAATATGGTACTGTAGATAGTAAAACATTTTTTGGACCACCACTCATCCGAAGGGAGGTGAAAGTAGGTTCATCAGGCAGTACCAAGTGGCAACCTCTTGGTCATATAAGAGGATAAAATGCGGTTGGGCCTTAAACCTGCATTATTCTTTATGACCCTCCACTGGTTCCAAAATGAACCTCGATTATATAGAATTCAGCGACCATTTTCATAACAAGTTTATAATCTCATTTGCTGTTCTTCAATACAGCATGATGGAAACTTTGTACATTTTGGTCCCATTTAAAGTAAAATGTCTCAGCCACAGTTGTACCAACAATGTAATTACGGTAGATGTATTTGTATGAAGGAAATGGCATACCTCACTTCTGACATCAAACTGACATCAGCCCATTCTCAAATAGACGCAACACTCACTAGGAAAGTGTGTCAAGATGCACAAATGAACTGAACTGAACATGTTCTCTGTGTACTGACTCCCTCAGGTTGTTCATGAGAGGCTGTGAGCTGACTGCTTACATGTTCGTGTGGGACCGGTACCGCCTGCTGGAGCTGCCCTGGGACTCAGCCTGGACCTGGTGGATCGTTTTTCTGGGCGTGGACTTCTGCTACTACTGGGTGCACCGCCTCGCTCACGGTACCAGCACCAACACTCACACTGATGTTCACAGCTCACAACTAAGGCTTTAGTTAATCACGGCTTAAAAGTGTAATTTATTAAAATGTTTAATGTGTATTATACAGAAACTTTTACCTCTGTTGGCTTAAAAAGTTAGATGTGACATATTTAAGTTTTGCTTCATCGCGAAGCACAGTGTATGTGGTCCGCTTGGATTCATGGTGGTTTTAAATTGTGACCACATTTTCTGTTGGAATCGATTTGAACGTCAGTCAAAACTTGACAAATACAGTATGCCTGCAGTGTAATCCTCTTCTCCACTGATAATACAAATCGTTAGTTTGTTTTGAACTTATATTTTCTTTTAAATATGGCTAAATTTAGTAGGCATCTCATACATGATATAAAGATGCATTTTGTAAGTTTTACATATTTTAAATTCTAAAAATAATGGTGTTGTGTTTTCAGTGATAAGCATATTGCATTTTACATTTACTTTGCCAGTATAACTCCACTACCTACCAGAATCATACCAACAGACTCATCTATCACGTGTGCCTCAGATAATACTAACACAAAACTACAAAGCCAGCTGATGATAAATGGTTGTAATATGTTGATTAGTTGCCATCCCTGTAGGGAGGAGCACACACATCATGCTGTCCTGGACATTGTGGAGGAAGCAATTATTTTTGAGTTACATGCAGCTGCTTTGGAGCTGTGCAGATGTGAGGGGCCGTGGCCTCCAGAGAGCTGTGGTCTTAACCCGGAGCTCTCACAGCAACAAGCTGCATACAGTCACAGCTCTAAAGCAGTGATGTCCTGCAGCATCACTATAACACCGGTTATAAAATAAATATAGAGCGGATACAGTTTTGTACAGTGGTGTCTCAACATGTTTTTAAAAATGACTCTTCCAGTGTGTGTTGGCTCAACTGATGCACGTGCCAGATGCTCAGCTGCCACAAAGCACACCGGAAGAGAGTTATTTATCTGTGGCCTGCACTAGATGTTTATTTGTGTCAGTGGCACGTCAAGCTGCCCGCCGTCTAGTCCACATAGTTTTGGCTGAAAGTCGAAAATCTGGCTAAACATACGTTTTTTTTTTTAACCGACTCGACCAAGAACTGACCAACATGATTTTGAGGTGACTGTGAACATTGTCCTTGGATTTAAGAGCATTTTGCAGCATCAGATTAGTGAAAATGCCCTTGCTTTTGTGAAAAGTAAAGAAATCAAAGTGTACTGTATTTGACATTATAATGGAACTTTTCAATATGAACTCTTGAAATGTTGTGTAAATTGTGTGAAAACCTTAGTAAGATTTTTGGCGGGGGGTGTGTGTGTCTACAGAAGGTCCAGTAGTGATAGACACGGTTCGCCACTGCTGCAGACTGATGCTTTGGCATGCAAAATCAATACTTGTATCTGTTCGCCCCTGAAACCCAAATATTATTACATTATTACATGTCATTTGTTAGACGCTTTTATCCAAAGCGACATACATTCAGTACAAGCAATTTGGGGTGAAGTGTCTTGCCCAGTGACACAACGACATGCTGACTGCAGTGGGACTCGAACTAGCTACCCCCTGATTTGAAGTCCGGCACTCTATCCACTTAGCCACAGCCGCCCAATAATTTAAACCAAAGTCTGCCTGACACTGAAAGTAAACTGAAGTGATCGATTATTCCACAAAATGCTTAGAGCTCTTGTTAAATTGAAAGCAGAGACTGCCTGTCCCGGTCTTTTCATCCTCTTAATGATATTTGTGCACATTCATATTAATATATTCATTTGTATTGTTGACCTCAACACATAAAAACATGATTCCAATGTGCAGCACTCTACATAAGACTTGTCCTGTACTAGCGCTGTGCAATTAATCGTATTTGAATCGCAATTAGGATTTTGGCCTGCCACAATTACGAAAACAACATAATCAAAAGAAACGATTATTTAGCTTTGCTAGGTTGTGACAGTGCACTGCAACATATTTGATCTAATTTATTTTAGTCTAATTTATTTTTTATTTATCATATTTATATATGTTTAGTAGCTTATGGAAGTGCGCTCCAAAATATGTGTTGATCTTGTTTATTGGAATTTATTATTTTGATATTATTTTTTTAAATGTAAATATAAATGTATCATTTATTTAATTTATTTTTGTATTGATTTTTCAGTTGAATTATACATTCAGGGTAATCAACAGTTAAAAAGATACTGTTCAAATTATTATTTGTATTTGTTTTAAAGTTCAATAAATGGACGTTTTCAAAGTCAATGAATAATCGTATTTAATAATTGTGATATCAATTATTGACCAAAATAATCGTGACTATGATTGTTGCCATAATCGAGCAGCCCTACCCTGTACACATACACAGTTTTGGGGCATTATCATTTTGTGTAAAATGTTGGCATGTTGCTGTGGCTGAGCAGTTTTTGTTATTTAACCCTCTGTGTTCGAGCCTAATTCATCATGCATACAACCCGTGGTTTGTTGATCTATGAAACCAGGCTGAGCAGCACACATGGATGTTCCATGTGTGTAACCTTATTTTTTAGAATTGCAGCTGTAATGTGTGTCTGAATGAAGTGTGTGTTCCCGCTGTTGCCCTCCATTGCCTCACGGTGCAGAGGAATGACGTTCACTGTATCACATATCTGCTTGGTTTATTTGGTCGGATTTTTTATTTATTTTTAACTGCAGAATCATTTAGACGTCTCAATATTTTTTCCACTTGCTTTCATTTCCTCAGAAGTGCTCACTCAGGAAATAAGCTTTTCCCCTTGTTACCAAAGTGAAGCGGTTGTCCCCGACCGCAGCGCAGGTCGTCACTCGTCACTCTGGTCAGCCGAGGTCATCTCGGCCAACCTCCGACCTCCATCTTTTCCTAGAACAAGATTCAACTAAAGCCTTTCAGTGTGTGGAATATATGTCTCCTATAATAATGCACCGAGGAATGAGACAGATGTAGGATGCAGCTATAAAGTATTTTCCAGCAATTTAACGGGTGTCAAACTGTCATGTAACGCTTCTTTAGAAGTCTTATTTTATAGCACTCATATTCGTAGTGGATTTTTGCCTCAAAACAGCAAGAACCCTCCAGCATCTCTAATCCAATTGTGTCAAGACATATGAGCTATCATCTTAATCCTTCATAATAAGACAAACGATGGAAATATGACATCCTCTGCTGGGAAGTAAGAGCCCTTATTAGCCTCAGTGAAGAATATCATTTTCAGTGTGACCAGTTTTATGGGCCCTTTTCTCATATTTTCCCTCACATGAATTCCACATGAAAGGGCAGCTAAAAACTAATTAAGTGGAAAGAGATTTGAAAGGCCATCGGCCTGTGCTGATGCCATCTTTACTCAGGAGACGTTACCGCTTGGTTTTGCCAGACGCTGTGATCTTTGTGATAACAACAGATTTGAAGTAAGTGAGCTGCCCCTGTCTGCAGACCTTTGGATGAAATTCAGGATTCTGCAATGACAGATGTATTGTGGCTTGTGGCTTGTGGCTAGACCATATTTGTGGCCTTTTTTTGGCATTAGATCTGATCTGCATAGCCAAACACCAGTTGTGGTTCAAGAGGTAAATGTGGAAGATCAAACATTTGAATGAACTTTGTGCACACACAGACTCAAATGAAGTGCTCGTTTATCTAAACTTTTGATATCAATATTGACTTAAACTCCTATCACTGCTCCATGTCCACAAATCGATATACTGCAGCTTTAGTGAGTCATGGTTGAATCTGTTCTTACTGTTTAAAAAATGTGGTTTGATATTGTGTTTGCTTTCAGTTGGTGACAGATTGCTGGTGCTGTATATCTCTTACCCCTGAAATAACATGCTCCTTGCTAAGTATTTAACCATTTATTATAGACATATTGGTTTAATAACCTGGTGAACTACAAGAATTGAAAATAAATTCCAAGTTTACCCACATTGTCTGATGCTTTCGCTGTCAGATAGACTATATATTTAAAACGTTTCTATTTCTGACCGTCCTGAAACCAGATGCTTTTGGGTGAGCAGGAGGCTGACTGTTCGGATGCGGCCATATTGTTGACAGCCCTGTTGATTCTGTTTATTCTAACCTCATATCGCAAGCGCCACTAATAGCAGCTCTGCTCTCGGGCGGCATCTATATGCAGGCATGTCAGCTAAGCTGAGGCCATTAATCAGCCAGTCAGCTGTCTGTACTCTTGATTATACGTGAGGTAATGGAGTTACGCGACAGTCGTCTCACCACACTGGCTGCTGCTGCTGCCCTGTAGCCCAGAAACATCAGATAATCACCTAAAAGTCCCTGTGGAATGTTATCATTGCTTCCAAATATGATGGATTTCCTGTTGGGTAGTGAGTGATGGATTCTTTTTCAGTGTGAAGCTGTTGGTTGTGGAGAGAAGGGGGGGGGTATAATTGACAGGAAATCTAGGATTGTTGAATAATTTGTGTTTTTGGTTCAATTTATTTTGTAATACCAATCAATGTAATCCCAGATGAACATTGACAGTCCTGAGAGAAACATGGAGAAATCTGTGGTTGTCAATCAAAACAGTGACACATACATCAATTAAGAGAATCAAGGCTGTGTCAAAATGAAAGATCAAAATGTGATTGCTGCTACATCCATTTAATACGATACAACATAAAAGGTACACTGCAAGTTAGCATTATGCTACTGCTAGAAACAAATAACATATTTGCCACAGTGACAGGATTGTCCTCTTTTCCTCTGAGCATGGTGCCAGCACTAGAGCCATATTTTCTTCGTTCGACACATGGGAGCAGTGCTGATGGATGTTGACATGTCTCCGTTTAAATCGGTTTCTTTCTTTCTTAAATCGCAGTGCCGCGACAGATTAATGGCACCATTTGACAGATTGAAACAGATTGTGTGAAGTGCAATCAGCTTGTAAGATTGTTGTTATTGCACAGACTTATTTTCTAAAAGTGCCTTTTCAAACCAAATTGTTCCATTTGTCAGGTGATGTGGGAA